GTGCTACCAGTTCGTCTTGATGTCTATTCATTTACCAGTACCAAAGTGTTCGTAGTTTCACCAAAAATGAAGAGAAACATTCTAGTGGTACTTGAAATCAGCTGAAGGAGGAAGCAGTAATGGACAATTAAATCTTGGATATTGTTATGACAATGGGATTGGAACCATAAGAAAGACCCGAGATTATAGGAAAAATATTCCAGTGGCACCTGAAATCAGCTAAAGGAGGAAGCAATAATGGACAATTAAATCTTGGATATTGTTATGACAATGAGATTGGAACCATAAGAAAGATCCCGGAATTATAGGGAAAACATTCCAGTGGCACCTGAAATCAGTTGAAGGAGGAAGCAGAATGGACAATTAAATCTTGGATATTGTTATGACAATGGGATTGGAACCATAAGAAAGATTCCTGGGATTATTTTCAAAAAAAAATCAAGACAAAAAGTAAACTTAAATTATCGAGTAAGTATTTAAAAATTACATGCGGAAAAGGGATTTTACATTTGTTTTCTTTGTTTATATGTTTAGTTATTTCTAAGTTAAGTAATTTATTGTAATGATAATAATAATAAATAAAAGCCAAGATTTGGAATATTCTTTGTAATTTTAATTTTATTATTTACAGTTTAATAAAAATAAAAAGTTACTACATTTTATTCGCGTGTATTTTTACGAAATTTTTTTTATTGTGATTGATTTCTTTCCGTTTTTTCTAACATTCGGTTTCATGACTCAAGACAAATATTGACTTTCACATTTTAGATAACAAGGATATTGGGAAAACTTTTACAAATAAAGATTTTATTTTATTATTATTATTTAGATTGAGGAAGGGTCTTCTCTTCCTTCAAACCTTCGCTATAAACCCAAGGGAAATAAATCAACATTTGGTGTTGGTTTTTGAAGTTATCATCAGATGCGAGAAGAAAGAAAAATCAGAAATTAAGGATAAATTGGATGAAAAATATCCGGGATCCAACAGCAGGTAACACGATAACAGGTCATGTTAAAAAGGATATTGTTAACCAGGGATAGGAACAATCAATTCAACCAGTCATAATCCTTGTTAGCCAAGTTGAATATTTTATGATTCAAGATCAAGAAAATTATGAAGAATCAAGCCGAAAAGTTGGACCAAATGAAAATTGAAAATTTGTTACTGATCATTCTAGTAATTATTCCTTTATTAAAGAAAGCAGAATTAGAAATGTCCTGATAAAAATCATGGAATTAGGAATACTTACAACATTTTGGGTTGTACTGAAGTTATATTCAAGAAACTTGCTGCCCAAGAACCAATGGAACCAATTGTAATTATTGAATAGATATTACAAGTTTATAGGTATCACAAGTATTATAGATATTATCAAGAATTTAAAATCCTGAAAAAGAAGAAAATTTTTTTGCAAGTATGAAATTATCTTCTACTGCACTAGATTATTTAGTAAAGGTTCTAATGGATATTTAAGAATAATTGGGAGATTTCAATTATTAGTAACATCTGGAAGTATCCAAATTATATTCAAAAAAAAATGCTTCGGATAAAGAGATCTGATTGTATATATATTGAAAGATTTAAAGGTTCTCAGTAATTTTTTATAATTTATTTGAATAAAAATATATAGTATGTATATAAGATACAATTTAAAATTCTCACAATATTTTTATTTATAATATGATAAAGTAAATCAAACACAATTAATGTTATTATTATTATTTTTAATTCACACGAACTGACAATGACCATGTACCACCTGTGTCGGGTAGGATAACCTCCTCAACTTTGCCCTCCAAAAAAAAATATTTTTTTGGATAAATTTTCTTTACCTTTTAAACAAGGAATAAATATTTCATTTAGAAGCAAAGTCGATAGGTTACATATCTTCCACTAGTCTCACTAGGTCTCATTATTTTAACCACCTATATTAAATTTAAATTTATTATTTGGAGTTTCTTTTTTTTTTTTTAAAAAAAAAAAAAATTAAAAATTAAAAGAAAATATTTTACCTGTCCTCTTTTTAACCCATAATATTTAGCAACTGGATCAGTAATTTGGATTCGTGGTAATTGAGTTTCTTTTAATCGACTAAATTCAACAACAAAATTGTTGTCAATAAATAATTTCCATGATCTTTATATATATTTTAACAAAAACTTACTATTTATTAAGTAAGGTTTTCTTTTCTTCTTCTGAAAGAACATAATGTTTTGGCACCAATTGATGTTGTGTAATGTTAACCATTAGATCTGCTTCAGAGAAAGTATCAATTTCATAATTTTTATTTTCTTTGGTATTTATTACTTGAATGGCCTAATAATCAAATAATATTTTAAATATCATTATAAGCAAAAAAATCAAACATTTTTTATTATTATTATTATTAATAAAACATTTACCTTATTAGCTGCAGCAGTCAAAGTTCCTGGAAATACCACAATACCTCGAGAAACTTTTTGATCTAACATTTTTTGACATAAACTGAATTCAATAAATATTATTAAATATTATCAAACCCAAAATACAAATATATTATTGTTGAAATTAAAGATAAAAAATTTCTACATTTTAAGATATTTTACTCCCACTGGTTTTTCATCCGGAAATACAACTAACAATTGTTCATTAGGATTATCGTTCTTTTGAACTTGAAACATCATTGACTCTTTACTAATATATATATGTATATGTATATGTATATGTGTATGTATATGTATATATTTTTATTAATATACAAAAATAAATAATTTCAATCAAATTCAAAAATATAGAATTAGTGAAACTTACTGAATAACACCACTCTTAACGCAGCGTTCTCTAAAATATTCTATTTCATTATAAGCTTCGCTATTGATAATATATCCCTATTAACCATAATGCATATTTAAATGATCTGTAATTCTTTAATAATTTCCTTCAGGAAACATATAAAAAACCTATTTACAATAACAGAAATTTACTCTATCGATGACCATTTCGTGCACTGTACGATATACTCGAAACATTCGTGCCACTTCTTGTTCAGGTGTACGTGAATCTTTCTCATCAGAATCCATAATTTTGATATTTTCTATAGGGTTTTGTTTTTCAACGCACCTGCGTTATGGCGCATGGGTGCGTGACATGATTTTATTGGTCAAAATTTGGGTTCCTGATTTTGTAATTTTGCAAATTGTTTTTTTAGTTATTTATGAGACGCGTGATTTTTTTAAAATATTTACACTTTATATTTTCTTTATAAACAATCATATATTACCTGAAAAATTTTTATCACTTATTAATACAAGTAATAATGTAATAGAACCAACTTTATGTCAAGGAAAAATATTTAATACTTGGCAACAAGCTTTTGATATTATCAAGGTTTTAAAGTTAAATATGATAGCGTTGAAAAAAATCCTGATGGAACCTTTCGCAAACGTACTATAAAATGTGAACATCAGGGTACATATGAAACACAATCTAATGAGAAACAAACAACAACAAAACGAATAGGATGTCCATGGCACATTAATCTTTCAGAACCACAATCAAAAAATCTGCACAAATTTATTTATATTACAACATTTCACGATACGCATTCACATAATCTTAATCCCGAAATAATTCAATTTGGCAATAACAAACATATACCTTCTGAAATAATGAAAGAAATTGAATTTCTTACAATTCAATGTAAAATGGGTGCAACTTCTCAAAGACAATATCTTTATATCTTGAAGCTAGATTTCCTACACAAACAATTTATAATGAAGATCTTTACCATGCCATCCAATCTTTTCGACCTCAAAATAAAAATGATAGTAATGATGCTGCGAAATTATATACAAAATTACTTGAAAACTCACAAAATAATCCAATGTGGAAAGTAGCTATTAAATTTGATGATAATAATACTCTTACATATTTATTTTGGATGACACCTTCTCAATTAGAACTATGGTTTCAATTTTCAGATATTGTAGTGCAAGATGTTACTTGTAAAACCAATAGATATGACGTGGCTTTAAGTTTTATTGTTGTTCTTGATGAAAACCGGAATATAAGACTGGTCACGCAAGCATTATTAATTGATGAAACTAAAGAATACACGAATGGACATTTAATCAAATTAATTTAGTAACAGATAATTTACACCCTCGCGTAATCATGACAGATGCGGATCCAGCAGTACATGCAGCAATTAGATCCACTTTTATTACAACTTATCCAATGAATTGTACTTTTCATATAAGTCAAAATTTAATAAAAAAAACTTCAAATACTTGAAAAAAATTTTATGAATTTTCGTTACAATTCCATAAAACACGTAATACATTGCACAAACCTTTTTTCGAAACAAATTGGAAAGCTTTAATAAACCAATATCCCGAAGCACAGGATTATTTAAATAATATTCTTTATAATACAAAAGAAGCATGGGCACATCCTTGGACATGTAGACAATTTACAGCAGGACTTCATGCTTTTTCACCTGTTGAACGTATAAATACATGGATTAAAAGTTATATTTTTAATTCAAATATTTCTTTATGCGAACTTGCAGATTTAATAGAGAAAAGACAATTATCTGAAGATAAAAATCATCAACTTATTTTATGGAAAGCTGCAATTCCTTGTTTATCTACACAAATTACAGTTCCGGCATTTATGTTTTCAAGTATTGATAAAGAACTTATGGAATATCTGCCTCCTGCTATATTAGAACTTCAAAGAAATGAAATTCGCCAATGTATCTTTTATGATGCTATATAGATAAATCAGGAAAAAATTGATGAGGTATGCATTGTTAAGCATTATTGCATTATTAATTTTATAATCAGGCAGATATCTAATTAATATTGTTACGTATTATTTAATTTTTTTATATGGTTACAGTATAACTTTTTATCTGATCAACATTTAGAAGATATACCAGATGCACGTCAAACTACTGTTGCTTGTATGATTTCTGATGTTGATAAAGAACAAATTACATCTATGTGGGCTATAACTGTTGGAAACAATCTTGTTGAGAAACATTTTATTATTTTATTATCTAATGGATCACATCATTGTTCCTGTTTATCATTAATTAACCGTGGAATTGTATGCAGGCATTATTTTCAAATTATGCTTAATAGTTTCACAGCTAAATTTCATTTAAGACTTATTCCTTCACGTTGGTATTATAAGAATAAAGATCTTAGCAAGGAACCATTCCTAGTAGCTACCAAATTTGAAGATGAAATTACACCAATTATTCCGGAATCAAGTATTCCATTTTTAACTGCAGTTAAACAAACATCAATGCATGATTCCATTTCCCAGCACGAACGTCTCACAGATATACAATTATATGGAAAAATCAATGAGTTGGCACGTAAAGTTACTATGAAAGCAATAAAAAATAGGGATGTACATATAATAGATATTTTGGAGAATTATCTGAATAATGAAAATGAAGAAGAAAACAATAAAAGTGAAAATATAAATAGTGTCTGTGAAAATACAAGTAAAAATACAGAGAATTCAGAATTAGATAAAGAAAATCAATCCTTGATTATTAAAAATTCTAACAAACAAACAAAATCCAGAGGACGTCCTAAAGGAACAAAAAGAATCAAAGCATTTCATGAAAAAACAAGTACAGTACCTTTGGACAATAGTAAACAATACAATTGTGGTCTTTGTGGTAATATGGGGCATAATAAACGGAATTGTAATCAAATTAGTTAATGGCATTTGTATTAAGTCAGAAAAAATAATTAAATAAAGATAATTGCAATTTTTTTTGTTTATTTGAATTGATAAAATATTACAGATAACATAACTACATATAAAAAATCTCATAAATCTATTATTTATTTATTTCGTTTAAAAAATTTTTTTTTTCAGAATTACTATACTTCGAAATACATAATAAAGCTTTCAACTAATAGTAAATTGTACCCGAAACAAAAAAAAAACTGTTAATGAATATGGAGTTTTTATTAAAAGAAGTACAAGATCTAGAAGTATTTGATATTACAAATATGAATCAACGAAATCGAGTTCATTATTTTGAATCTGCTGAGATCTGTGATAAAAATAAAAATAAAAAAATCCGCGACACTAAGTGTTAATACTCATTAATTATGCAGAATGAAATACAAAAAATAATATAGACTAGTTAGTACTTACTTTCCCTTCCCTTCGTCTTTAAAAAATTATTTTGAATCTGCTGAGACCTGTAATAAAAATAAAGAAAAAAACAATTCGCAACAGAAAGTGTTAATACTTATATTGCATTAAATAAATTATATAGAATGGAAGCACAAAATAGTGTAGTTAGTATTTACCTTGCCCTTCCCTTTACTTTAATATCCTTCTTTCTCTGGTATTGCATTCCGTTTCCAAAGTCTTCGATTTCGTTTTCCAATCTGAGCAAAAAATCTTTCTCCAAGTACTCGTCCTTAAACCCCTCTTTTTCTTTCTCTTCTATATTTTCCTCATCGTCCTCTACCTCTTCATGGCCGTCAGTTCTCAAGGGGCTGTTGGCTATTCAAATTCCGTGATCGCTCCGCAGGTTCACCAGGAAGATTGAACTCAAGTTTTCTTTAGATAATTCAAGGAATAACACGACCGGTGACCCATTTATTTTTCAATATTTAAATGTCTTGTTACTCCAGAAAGTAATAACTGCAGGAAGAGACATTTTTATTTGTTCTGTCGTATCAAGATAATCTCATTAATTATAGCACAGATTACGCATGAAATTACAATATGTGATAAAAGAATTAAAAATATTAAATAAAAGACACAATACATAAATCTAACGGTCTTCTGAGATAAAACGCGACATAAGGTTTGGAGTTTAATTTATTAAATAAAAAAAAAATTTAAACAAACCTTTCTATAATATTATTTCTTTATTATTTTTCTCAACTTTATTATTTTTATTATTATTTTCGAAATACAAAAAAAAAAAAAAAAAAATTGGATAATAATAAAACAAAATAAATTGAATCACGTGAAATTAATATTCAAAACTTTATCCAATTTCGAAAAATAAATAAATATAATTTCCAATAAATAAATAAAAATAAATAAATAATAATGATAAGAAATCTCTTACATAAACATATTACTGTATTTTAGTACAACTAATTCGAAAGCATAAAAAAAAAATAATAATAATAAAAACCACCATACAAATTACAAAAGAAATTTTTTAGGTGCATTTTTTTTGAAATATCTTAAGGACGACTTTAAAGTTTATATACATAATATCGATATACAAGGGTTGTTTGTTTCTAAGCTGGGTATAAATATATATCACAAAGGACAGTAAAGGAAGAAGGGTACTTATATAGTATTTGATTTCTACTACCATAAAATTTATTTTATAAAAGATTTCGTATAAAAAGATTCATATAAAAAAATTCACTCGTTCGGTGTAGTTTTTAAAACGTAACTTGAAATTTCCAGATACGCCCCATAATTATCGAAATATAATTAAAAAATTGTCCAACACAAATGAATGGAATAAGTGTTTAGTAAAATTTCCTTATCTATTTATTTACCAGCCGTACTAACTGCAGTATTGCTAGGTATCCCTCTCAATTTATCTAATTCCTTTTTCACTGTCTTTCTTGATGGATTGGGAGATTTATTATTAATCATACCGCCTTGTACATCATTCGGGGGTGTTTCTTGTGAAGATCCCGTATTAGTAGATGTTTGAGTTGCTTTCTTAGTAAGTAAAGCTTGGAAGAAGTTTGCAAGAACTTCGTTTTGAGAAGAGGTTCCATTTGTTCCATTTGGAACTGTTGGTGTATTACCATTTGTAAGTTGACCAGGAGGCGGAGAAGAAGTTGCGGGAGTTGATTTGCTCTAAAGTAAAAATAAATATAAATTAATTAGTATCGTAAGCTTGAAATAATCTGAAATATTATTTAATGATATTTTCAATATACTGACTCTGATTGGTTTGGCAGGTAAATTTTGTAAATTGGGAACTGGAGCAACATCGAGATCCGGAATTTCTTCACCAAGATTCACATATGTATATTGAGGTGCACCCATTGGTCCAACAACTGATGGTGGACGTTCACTATTGGCTTGTTTTAAGGTTTCAACATGACGAGCAAAGAATTCCTGTTCATCTTCAGCAATAATGATTGTTGGAACGAGTGGCTATAGATATGATAAAAATGTTATAAATCTTATATATATATTATCACATTCGTAATTCAAAAAATTATTTTTTTTTTTTGGAGATTACCTTCTCATTTTCAACGTGTTTCACGACATCTTCAAATACTTTCCGAGCGCTGAGAATTTCATCGACATGATCATTATCTCCCTCTAGTTGTTCAGCTTTGCCAGTAACATCTAAATCCCATCCTTTGAGCAATCCATTACAATCAAATCCTTCTCTTAGAACACCAATTTTGCCCCAAGAATCCCACCCAGCGGGGACTAATACTGTATCACGGTCAACAAATGTTGGTTCAATATTAAAAACATAAGACTTTGTATCACTGTGGGATGCCATAGTTCCGAGAAGTCGATGAAGAATATATTTACGGAGGTTGATGAACGTTTTAGGTTGTCGCGTAGTTGTATAAAAGAGTGCGGCACCATCTATTAAATATATATTAGAGGGGATCATACTAAAATTAGCTAATAAAAAAAAAAAAGTCGCACTCACATTTAAGACAAATCGTTCTCAAACTTTGCTGTATAAAGTCGAACTGTTCTTCTTTATAGTCCTTTTCTCTTTCTAATGTAAAGACATTATCAGACTAAAAAATTTTCATTATTAGAGTTATCTCATATTCTAATGAAGAAATAGAATTAATTATTTTTTACCTTGGTACAAACAACCACCAATGGTACAGCCAAATTTGTGACCAGTGTACCAGGGCCTAAAGGCAATGCAACAGTTTCTGCTTCGGCCGAAGAGGCTCCTGTTCCATTTGTGGTATTTGTGTCTTGTGTGTTATAATTTTGAATAAAATATTCGACTTTTCGTTGATAGTAATAAATAAGAAATGAATAATAACGAATAATAATGGATAATAACGTATAATAATGAATAATAACGAATTATAATGTATAATAATGAATAAAGTTTACGAAAAAAAGAAATTTTTTTTTAAATTATTAATAATTTTCTAAAAGAAAATTTAAAGATCAAATTAATTGGTTTTAAATTATACTTACGAGCTTCTTTCATTTCGTCAACAACAGCTTTTCCTTTAGTCCATCCATCTTTAGCACCCACAGCACCTTCTGTTTTTATATTCTCAATACCTTTTTCAAGGAATTTAGCCCATCGTTGTAAGGTTTCAACAAAAGTCCACGGACGAGCCCAATCCAAAACAATGACTACAAGGGAATCTGGAAGAGTTGAAGAATTAAGTGCGAAACGAAGGAGAGATTGATAGGCTTCTTGTGAGCCTGCTAATTGGTATAATCCGAGACGAGCAAGTGTGTCTAATTATAGGGGAAATATTAAAAAAATGATAAAGAATCGTTTAATTAAAGTGTTCCAAAAGTCATATATATATATAATAATGAAAGTTTTGACGATTTTACAAAAATCAATTTAATAATTTGTTTTCGTAAGAAAATATTGACATAAGCCACGTTATAAAGTAATGTTCTTACTAACCTTCTGCATCGTCATCTTTCACTTCTACAAAGGTATAACTCAGTGCCAAGTCGTTATGAGAAAGTTTTTGATTAACCAAATCATCAGTGTCAGTGCCTACGCTTTTTGAAACACTGCCATTTGCTTCATAAACGTCTTCATCCTCTTCGCCTTTAAGGTGTCTGATGAGAGTAGATTTTCCAGACTCTCTATCACCTTAATATAAGAATATAGCACAAGGCAACACTGTTAACTAGTTGAACATTGTCTTGGACATCTTGAGAATCCTGAATCTTTGAATAAATTCTGACAAACCTAGAATCAGTAAACTTTTGGTGGGAACAATCTTAGAAGATGCTACTCCTTTTAGAATTGAAGACCAAATATTTTCTTGCTGGTCGTCTGCTGATGTACCATCATTATTCAAACCATCAAGAATGCTATCGTTTGTTTTAGCCATTAGTTTAAATCGTTAATGATACTAATAAAGTACAAATTTTTTATTCTGTGTTGAGATAGTGTAAGCTAGTCTAAAAAATCGGCTCAAGTCGACTCGTCGACTTAGTCAGGAAATAAGAATGTATTTTCCTTTTATTGGTCAAATGTTATTGGTCAGATCTCTAATCCAACCCAAAAAGCATAAAAGGCATAAAAAGTTTGATTTATTTTTACTTTTTGAAAAAAAAACCCCCCAATTTCTTTCCTATATTACGTAACCGAATGACAAATTTAATCCTTAAAGAAATAGATCACGTAAATAAAACAATGAAAAGATGAAATAAAAATAATGAGGATGAAATAAAATAATGAGGATGAGGGAATTTAATTAAATGAAATAATTATATCAATTGTTATCTACCACCTTTTTATTACACTCATAATAATATAATTTCTAGAAGTGATAACTTTGTATTTAAGTTCTATACCTCTAATAAAATAAAATGAATTGGTGGTCAAGTTCAAAAAAGACAAAGGGTTTGGAATCATATGAAAAAGAATGTAATAACATATGAAACCCAGTCATGTTTTTGTTACTATTAAAATAAAACTAATACTTCTACTTTAGCTTTTATATCTGCAAAATGATTATCAGTTGAATGAAAATGGAATTTTATCATCATTTTACTATTGAGTGGTGGAACAGCACAATCTTTAAGGTTACGATCCGTAAAACTAATGTTAATCAAACTACTCTTGAATTTGATCACCTTGAATTATTACATATGCAATTATTTAATGTTTTTAAGTAAAGGTTTTAAAAAAAAAAAAATTTGATCCGTGATATGAATTATCATGCCAAGATATTTTTTTTTGTCAAAAAATTACATCATTTTGTTAATTTTTATCATTGATCAATGGGTGCTGTACACTTGAAACCTTTAAACATCGCTTTCACTACGAATTCATAGACCGTTATTTCACGGGAACTAATTTATACTGCTTAATTTAGACTGGAAATAAACTGGTATTTTTTTTTTAAAAAAAAAAACCCGAATCTTTTCTAAAAGTAAAATATTTTTAACTTATTAGAGAATAGGGCTTTGAATCTAAACTCATCATAAATCAACTACCTATTTGAAGTAAAGTTTGTCCCGTTTTGATCTTTGCATTGCATATAAAGGAAAGAACAAAATAAAGAAGGAACTATTTACTATTTTGCTAACAAAGCTTATTACGGATGTAAATTAAGATTATATTATTTACGAAATCAATAATTCAAGTCATTTTGGAAAGATTTTTCACGTTAATCGCAAAAATAAATACCTAAATACTTAAATTATGAAATTTTAAAAAAATAAAAGATGTAAATACTTATCAAATTTAAAAATTTTAATACAAGGACTGAAATTAATTCAATTTCAAATTTCAAGTGCCTAATAGCAACTAAATAACTTTTTTTCTTCCATTTAATCCTTGCTTCATATCATTAACCGATATCGTGATCTAGAATAATAGAAAAAAAATGCAGGGATAGAATTAAATTTTTCATACTAACCGGATAAAGTTTTGTATAACAAATAATTCTTGTTTCTTTGACAACGCAATTTACAACAAAAAAAAATGGCTTTAAAATTTTTTGATAAATTGACTCAAAATTTTATTGAACTTCTTAATGACAAAAAGATGATTACAATATAATTATTGAAGTTGAAAATAAGAAGAAAAATTTCACTGCACACTCTAATGTACTTAAATGTCGCTCACCTTATTTTCGTAAAGAATTAGATACTATTAACCTGAGTGAGAAAAATGTTAAAACAATTATTAAACCAAATATTTCTTCTCAAATTTTTTATATTATTCTTAAGTAAGTTACGACTATTTAACTCATTATAATAAGATAAAGTTATATAATTATTAATTTTCGTTGTTTATTTTGTTTAGATATATTTATGGCGGAAACAAGAATTATTTTTGACTTAATGTTGGCATCTAATAAATTTGAACTTGAAGAATTATCCAAAAAACTAGAAACTATTCTCATTAAATGTAAAGCTTCTTAGTTAAAAACACACTTTTCTCTTGTTTATCATTCAATTTTTACTAATAACAACTTTAAAGATTTGGAGAATTTTTGCAATGATATTGTTGCAAAATATCCTAATCTTATTTTTGATTCTGATGATTTTACATCTCTTCAAGAATCTGCTTTGATATATATTCTTAAACGGGATGATATACAAATGGAAGAAGGCAAAATATGGGAATATACTATCAAATGGGGAATTGCTCAAAATTCTACTTTACCCACAAACTTTGAAGAATGGAATAAATTCAATTTTTTAACTTTGAAAAATACTTTACAACAATGCTTACCGTATATTCGTTATTTCCATATTCCCGGAGATGATATTATGGATAAACAAAAAAATCCTTAATAAGCAACTTTGGGAGGATTTATTTCAGCATTTTTTAACTCCTGACCGACCAATGAAATCACTCATTTTACCGGCAAGTTCAATTTTGATTCCTGAATTACCTACCAGAGAAAAAGATCTTTTTTCAACAATTATTTCGGATGAACATGTTGCAGAAATTTCCTCCTGGATTGATAATAAAACTACTGCTTATCCTTCAACAAATTATCCCTATGAATTTCAACTAATTTTACGAGGAAGCAAAGATGGGTTTTCTCCACAGACTTTTTGGAACATGTGCCATGGTCACACTGGTACAGTAATTATTATAAAAGTTAAAGGAACAGACGAAATTCTAGGAGGTTATAATCCTTTAATGTGGGATAATACAAAGAATCATACCTATATGAACACAAATGATAGTTTTATTTTCACATTGAAAAATGGTAACATTCAAAATTCAATTCTTAGCAGAGTAAAAAAACCTGAATATGCACTTTATTATTATGGAAAATCATCTCAAAATATTAATGGTCCAAATTTTAGATTGGGCGCCCGTTTGTATAGCAATGCATCTAATTTTACCATGGATAATTTATCTCGGAGTTATAATAATAATTATTATGAAACCATTTTTCAATTGTTGATTATGAAGTATTCAAATTCAATGAGAAAACTATCTAAGATTTTTATTTTTTTTAAAATATATCATATTTATTACATTGAAGTCATGTTTATATTCCTATAATTAATTATTTACTAAATAAATTAAAAACTTATATATTCAAATTATCGTTTTTGTTTCTTTGTATCGATCAAATTTTAAAATTCAAGGTTAAGATATTTTTTTTATGATACGTTTAAATAATGAATTGTAATATTTTATACCATAATAATTTGCATTAAAATTCTTTAATAGATGATTATAATGAAATTTTAATGAAATATTAATTATTGAAGTCGAAGATAAGAAAATTTTACTACATACTCTGATATGTCGCTCACTTTAATTATTAAGTTAAATATTTTAACTCAATTTTCGAATTACTCTTTAAGTTATAACTATTTAACAATAAAACAATGCTATTATAATTTAACGAATGATAACAAATTATTAATAATTACTATACTATTTATTTGGTATCGTTAATTTAGAAAATGTTGAAGCAATAATTATTTTTTTTTGATTTAATGTTAGCAGCTAATGAATTTTATCTTGAGGAATTATCAAAAAAACTAGAAACTATTCTTATTAAGATAAAGCTTCTTGATTAGAAACATATTTCCTCTTGCGTATCATTCAATTTTTTATTAATAACAACTTTAAATCTTTGTAACATTGTTGCATTGTATCCTAATATTAATTTTTTACATCTCTTCAAAGAAACTGCCTTGGTATAACTTATAAATGGAAGGATCAAATAGAATCCTAATTAACCTATAAACTTTGAAGAATGGAAATAAAAGATAATATTTTGACTTTAAAAACTACTCCGCAACAATGCTTATCATATATTAGATATTTTCCATGTTTTTGGTGATATTATAAATAAAAGTAAAACCTAAAAAAAAATTCTTGGTAAACAACTTTGAGAAGATTTAATTAACATTTTATAACTTTTAGCGACCAATAAAATCAGACATTTTACCAGCAAGATCAATTTTGACTCTTGAATTTCCTGCCAGAGTAACAACCATTATTTCTGATGATAAAATTTCCTCCTGTAAAACTATTACTTATTAATAAATAAATTATCCTTATGAAGTAGAGATCACAAACTTTTTTGAACATGTGCCATGGTCACGCTGGTAAGGAACTGATAAAATTATAATCTTTAATATGGGATAATACTATTTCTTGTATTAATAAGGAAACAAAAGATAATTTCATTTTTTTTCATTTCTCATTGAGAAAAACGGTAACATTGAAAATTCGATTCTTCAATATCCGAATATTATAAAAAAGGTCATCAAAACAAATAATGGACGGGATTAGGTGATCTTTAAATGTATAGTACTACATCTAATTTTACTATGGATACTGAATGTACTGTAGGTGTAATTTTAATTAAAAAAAATATTAGAACGACAGCAGAATGTTTTTCGATTGTTGATTATAAAGTTTTTAAAGTCAATAAGAAAATTATTTAGGATTTTTATTTTTTTAACTTTTGTTATTTTATTATATTGAAGTTATAATTATAGTCTTATAATTAATTAATATAAAAACTTATATGCATTCAAAAATTCAATATTTGTGTAACAAATTATGTATTTAATTTATGCGACCTTCTACACCACAAAAAAAAATGGCATTAAAATTTTTTGATAAATTATCTCAAAATTTCACTGAACTTCTTGATGATAAAGATGATTTCAATGTAATTATTGAAGTCGAAGATAAGAAAAATTTTACTGCACACTCTAACGTACTTAAATGTCGCTCACCTTATTTTCGTAAAGAATTGGATATTATTACCCTAAATAAGAAAAATGTTAAAACAATTATTAAACCAAATATTTCATCTCAAATTTTTGATATTATTCTTAAGTAAGTTATAACTATTCAATAATT